CGTCCACGTGCCTTAAAACAGCTCTAAGCTTTCACCCTGATTGGGTAGGCACCCCCAGTGGAGGACCCCCACCCTGAAAGGGGGTGTTAACCAGCTGCAAACAGCCATCAGCCCTGTCATCAGACTGGCCAGGCACCCAAGCGGGAACCCCCACTATCCAGGACACCCTTCAGGGCAAACCAGCCGACCCCCACCTGTGCACCAGGCCTCTATCCTATATAGTAAAAGGGTAATATGCAAACTGACCCTAACAGCAGAAAGACTGGGAATGACTGGTCACTATGACACACACTGACCACCAGGGGGCAGACGCTCAATGCAGGAGCTGCCCTCTGGTGGTCAGTGCACTCTCACAGAGGGGAGCTCTGCTCAGCCACAATCCAGGCTGATGGCTGCCAGTACAGCAGTGGTGGTGGGAGCCTCTCCTGCCTCCTCAGCAGTGCTAAGGATGTCCGACTGCAGCTTAGGTCTGCTCCCCGCTGGCAAGTGGACATCCCCCGAGGGCTGCTGGGCTGCCAGAGGATGTCTGACTGCCATCTTAGGCCCAATCCCGAGGGAGCAGGCCTAAGCCAGCAAGTGGTCACCCCCGAGGGGTCCCAGACTGTGAGAGGGCACAGGCCGAGCTGAGGAACCCCCTACCCCTGAGTGCACAAATTTTTGTGCACCGGGTCTCTAGTATAGAATTAAAAAGAGAACATAATAAGAGTTAAAATCTGAAAAGTGAAGACCAGAGCTTTCACTAAAAAGGTAAATTTGGGGAAATAACTCAGAGAGAGATGATATCTAATGTAAAGGGATCATTTTCTCAAGATCTGAATGTAAAGGAAGTACAAAGAACAAACTATTAAACTTGGGGAATAAGTAGTGAGTCACAAAAATTTACAGGTGAAATGAGAAAAAGTAATCAATAAAGATATAGAAGGAAATCAAACTAAAAAAATAGGGAGGAGAACAAAATATGACATAATTAGATGTTAGCTAGTATTTAACTAGGCTAGAATGAAACTGCATCTTAGTCATCCTTAGTACCTACAGCCTACAACACTGTGTTTAGCATATAGTCTCTCAATAAATAGTCTGTGAAGTAATAAATTCAGATTGAAGTCAGTGTTTCATTAGGCAATGAAATTGGCAAAAGTGCTATCCAGCATGAGTTATTTTAGAATATTTAGGTATTTTTATTCACAAACCAGCTATACCAGAATCACCTGGGAGAAACTGCTTAGAAATACAGAATTTAGGATCCAGCCCTGACCTACTAAATCAGTTTATTAATGAGTATTTTCACAAGATCCACAGGGAATTAAAATGCACATCCAAGTTTGAAGCACTGTTCCAAAGAATTCAGTCATTTTCCCAATTAAATTTGACTGGGGAACAGAGAAATAGAGAAAATGAGCCAAATTATGTCAAGATCCCTTTACACTAGTATCACTGATTCTATTTTGATAGTAAGTTATAGAAATTGGCAGTTCTATAAATTTGGGATAAAGAGAATGAGTCATGCTTATAAAAGGTGTAAAAGAAAAATACTGAATAATGCACAAATAAATTGATGAGAAAGTAGAGAATCTATTTATCAATATTGTGCATAATAATAATATCAACCAATACTTTGGCAATGATGACAATGGGAGATAGTGGAAAAGCCACCACATACAATGTAAAAATTCAATAGTAAAGATCTTTCAGGGAGAGGAAGTAGAAAATAATAAAGGATCAATTTACAAAACACTAAAGCAAAGATATAGAACTGTCAACAATGTTGTCACTGGTGTGTAGTTTAAGGAATTATCTGTACATGCTCAAAGTCACTAATTATCCGAGAGATGCAAATCAAAATGACAATGAAGTACCATCTCACATCTGTCAGATGGCTATCATCAACAAATCAACAAATGACAAGTGCTGGCGAGGATGCTGAGAAAAAGGAACCCTCGTGCATTGCTGGTGGGAATGCAGACTGGTGAAGTCACTGCGGAGAACAGTATGGAGTTTCCTAAAAAAAACTAAAAATGGGACTCCCATTTGACCCAGTGATCCCACTTCTAGGAATATATCCCAAGAAATTAGCAACACTAATCACAAAGGATATATGCACTCCTATGTTTATAGCAGCACAATTTACAATAGCTAAGATTTACAGCAGCCTAAGTGCCCATCAGCAGATGAGTGGATTAAAAAACTGTGGTACATCTCCACAATGGAATATTACCCTGCAGTAAAAAAGAAGGAATTCTTACCATTTGCAACAGCATGGATGAAACTGGAGAGCATTACGCTAAGCGAAATAAGTCAGTTGGAGAATGAAAATTATCACATGACCTCACTCATTTGTGGAATATAATGAACAACATAAACTGATGAACAAAAACAGATCCAGAGACAGAAAAGCATTGATCAGACCATCAAACCTCAGAGGGAAGGTAGGGGAAGGTGGGGGGAAGGGGAAGAGATCAACCAAAGGACTTGTATATATGCATGTAAGCCTAACCAATGGACACAGACATGAGGAGGGTGAGGGCATGAGTGGGGATGGGGGTGGTGGTGGAGGAGGCAATGGGGGGATAAAGACACATATACAATACCTTAAACAATAAAAAAAATAAATTTTTTAAAAAGTGGAAAAAAATTATCTATACAACTGCAAGAATCCTCATCGATGAACATCATTTTCCTACACCCTATTTCTCCACCCTCGTGTAACTTCTTTTATTCTCTTTCACCCCTTTTTTCTTTTCCCTTATGCTTGACAAAGTATCCTCAGGAACTGCTCTAACAAAAGGTGCTCATGATGACAGAAATTATTGCCCATGTTCATTAATCAGTGTGAACAATGATTGAAGGAAAATGAATCCGAGGGGGGAAAATACTATCAGCAAAGAATTATTTGGATAGTGATACAGAAAAAGAATATCATACAAAGTAAAAAAACAAATCAATAAAGATCATTTCAGAAACCAGTTCAAGATCAGTAAAGATTAGAAAATAAATGACAAAGAATTTTTTAAAACTAATAAATGAGGACACATACAGAAGATACAACTGATATATGAACAGTTGATAATGTAAAGAGAGTTAACGTAGAACTAAGGTGACATGTCATAAGTAGGGCAATAGCTAGAAAAAGAGGTGACTTGTAAAAGTGATAAATTTTTACTACCGCAGAAAATTTTACATATTTACATGCAAAGAAGTGGGATTCTGAAGGTGGATAATATTTTAATAAACACAGCAAAATTATTCATCCAAAATAGAGCCATACTCTGTCACTGATGACAATGTATTACATGACCCACAGATATGATAACTGATAAAACTATAAGATCTGAGGGATATTTTAGGAATAGGAAAATTATAATCCCTGTTCCCATGGAACTTTCAGTCTGGACTCTAAAGGCAAATACAGAAACAGAAAAAGAAGCATGGGACAGACTGACAAATCTTAGAGGGAAAGGCGGGGGGGGGCGGGGGGGGGGGGGGACCCGACAGGAAGAGATTAACCAAATAATTTATATGCATATATATATAACCTATGGGGATAGACAATAGTGCAGTGAAGGAGGGGGGGGGGGGGTTGCGCCAGGGACAGGGTAATACTTTCAACAATAAAGATAAATTTATATAAATAAATAAAAATTTAAAAGAAGAGCTATGAAGCTTATTCATATTAAGTGCTAAATTAAGGTAAAAAGTAAGTAAAAGCAAGCAATAAAAATGAGGGGAAAAAGAAAATACAGAAATTCAGCAACTAATTATGTTTGCCTCAATACTAACAAAAAGGGTGCTCTTGGAACACATACAGAAATATATCTGAGTGGGGTAATAATCAAGAGAAGTGATATTTAAACTGAGTACAAAGCTTGGTAGGAAAACTGGGTACATTTAGAAAAATTTTTCTAAGCAAAAGGAACAGCATATTAAAAGACCCACAGTTGAGAAAGTGGTCTGTTTATGGGATGGAAGAAAGTCATTATAAAGCAGCCCAGGAGATGACTCTGAAGAGCAGAGAGAAGCCAGAGGGTATGTGCATAAACTACAACAATAATATTGGAAATAAATGACTCTAGCGTGGCTGAGTAGCAAGAGGACGTGGAGGGAAGTAACAGATCTGAAAACTCCTTAGGAGGAAGTCAAAGATTTACTGACTTCATATGGATTGCTTGGTAAAGATGATTTGGTTTCTTTCTTGAACTATTAAATTTATTACGGCTCCATTTATGAAGATAGGAATACTAGAGGAGAAATAAGTCTGAAGAAATTTAGTTTCCAATATGTTCTAATTGAGAAGCCCATGAGACCTCAAAAGTGGAAAAGTCAATTGGTTCAACCCAAGTCATTAATTTACGCATTACAAATTTTTCAAGTGCCTTTTGAATTACAAATTATAAGTAGAGTAAAAATATCTTTGGAATTAAAATAGCTTCATATTATTCATCTATGAAAATTGACATGGTTGGCAGAATAATGGCCTCCCAAAGATGTACTACATACCCTAATCTACAATATCTGTGAAAATGCTACCTTACATAGCAAGAGACTTTGCAAATGTGATTAAGATTATAAATCTTAAAATAGGGTGATTATATTGAATTATCCAATTATATTGACCCAATTTCATTACATGTGTCCCTAGAAGTAGTGGTCACTGAGAGAGATAGGCTGATGGAAGAAGAAGAAATAGAAATTTAAAATGTGGCTTTGAAGATGCAAGAAGGGAACAATGACTCAAGGAATATAGGTGACTTTGAGAGGCTGGAAAAAACAGTCTCTCCAGGAACCAACTGAAGGAATGCAACCAGGCCAACACCTTGATTCTAGCCCAGGGGTGGGCAAACTTTTTGACTCGAGGGCCACAATGGGTTCTTAAACTGGACCGGAGGGCCGGAACAAAAGCATGGATGGAGTGTTTGTGTGAACTAATATAAATTCAAAGTAAACATCATTACATAAAAGGGTACGGTCTTTTTTTTTTTTAGTTTTATTCATTTCAAACGGGCCGGATCCGGCCCGCGGGCTGTAGTTTGCCCATGGCTGTTCTAGCCCAATCTAGATAAAATGGAATTTTATATAAGGAAATCAGTGTGCAAAATATAGTAGGGACCCAATAAATGTTTAACATTATAATTAAAGAGTGTATCCTTCCAGTATATTTTCTTGATATGTTTCTTCCTAAGAAATTCTGGATAAATAAAAATTTTGTGGCTTCAAATTTTGTGAATTTGTATCCTATTTAAGGGACTAGTAAGAAAAAAACCTTTGTCACTATCACCACCTCTTTATAGATTCTTTATGTTGTATTTTCTTAAAATGGTCAGTTGCTAATTAGAAACTGAAGGAAGCAAAAAAATAAGAACAATTAAATAAAAATGTCTAACATTTACAAAAGAGGTAAAAAATAGAAAAGTTTGCTTTTTCCCCCCCTCGATTTTAAGCAGAATTTTTCAAACACACAAAGGCACACACAGACAAAATTGAAATCTGACAACTATTATTTCCAGTGATATAAAGTCTATGTTATCAAATATATGTATACTAGAGGCCCAGTACACAAAATTCATGCATGGGTAGGGTCCCTACCAGCTGCCGGCTGGGGCCTTCCTTCGTATTGCACCACCCCCCTGGTGGTTGGTCAGCACACATTATAGCGAGCAATCGAACTCCTTGTCAGTTGAAGTCCCGAGGGGACACTTTGCATATTATATATATATATATATATATATATATATATATATATATATATGATAAAATAAGCTAAAATAACGAGTAATTCAGTAATAACTATATTAAAGTATAATTTGTTTTTAGGAAAAACTAGCTTAAATATTGTGCTGTAATATGATCTTCCTCCCCTCTAAATCAGTAAGATAGTCATCTAGAACCTTCAGGCACATGTACAATTCTGGTCAAGAGAGTTTTCTGGCTGGCTATAGTTTTCTCTAATTTGCGCATCAAAAACATTCTTACTTATTTTAAAACTTCTTGATAGAGCTGAAAAAATATGAACCCTAGAATGGGACAGGTCATGGGACAGTATTTTTTAACCTCCTTTGAGTGTTATCTCCTACCTTATAGGATTGGCGAGAAGGATTAAATTATATTACATACATATAAAGTGTGTAATACATTTGATAAGTGTTTTCTACTCCACTAATTATTCTGGAGCAAATTCTTTCTATAAGAATAACGATCTTTTCTCTCTATTACTTAAAAAGTGGTACAAAGAACATAAATTGATCTATTCTTCATGACAGTGTCATCATTACAGTGTCCTCAATCACTATAAATGACATAAGGAGGGTGGCCATACTCCAGGTTTGTCAGGGACAATCACATTTATGCTTACTGTCCTTTTCATCCTCACTCATGCTCAAGAGGCCTAGTTTGGATGATAAATGACATAGTGACCAAAGATAAAAAGATCTATTGAGATACTAGTTAGATAATTGTTCTCTTGTGCTTCCATTATCATCCTATGAACTTATGTATATCTGTTGGTATAGAGACCCCACCTGATTGATCTTTTTTAATGGTGAAAATTGTGTCTTAGTAATCTTTGTTATTTCAGTGTTTAATACAGCGGCTCTCAACCTGTGGGTCTCGAACCCTTTGGGGGTCGAACGACCCTTTCACAGGGGTCGCCTAAGACCATCGGAAAACACATATATAATTACATACTGTTTTTGTAATTAATCACTATGCTTTAATTATGTTCAATTTGTAACAATGAAATTGGGGGTCACAACATGAGGAACTGTATTAAAGGGTCACGACATTAGGAAGGTTGAGAACCACTGGTTTAATACCTTGCTTGGCATTTAATGACTGTTAAATAAATAATGATGGATTAGAATAGTATGGCTTTTTATCCTATAAGAAACAGCCTCACACCATCCTGTTTTTCCCCCAATTTATCTATAATAATAAAATCGTAATATGCTAATTAGACCAGACGTCCTTCCAGAGGGATGACCTTCTGGACAAAGCCAGGGCTGCGAGGAAAGCCTGGGTCCCAGGTGCCTCCTGGCAGCCAGAGGGAAGCCTGGGTTCCAGGTGCCAGAGTGAAGCTGGTGCCGGCAGCCAGGGAAAGGAAGGCCTACCTTTGCATGAATTTCATGCATCAGGCCTCTAGTATTTACATAAATCTTAAAAATATATGATGCTGTTTTATTTGAGTTCCTGTAACTACCTGGTTTATAAGCCTTACCCACTCAGTCTCCCTTTATTTGTGCTCACCATGTTAGAAGTTACATAAAATTCAAGCCAGTTGGAATTAAATTACATGTAAAATAAACAGATTCTATAAAACAGCTTACAGGCGTTTGAGGCTCTTTGTAGATTTAGGTTTACTTTGCCTATTTTCCAAAGCTAAACTGGATTACAAAAACAGAGTAGTAGAAAAATGTTTGTAGTTATATTTAATATAAACACTTACCCACAGGTGGCACCCGTTTTTTGGAAATATGAACATTTCTCTTCTCTTTACATGCTTTCATACTTCTGTCTGAATTTCTTTGTGACTTGTCTTTGGCAATAGGTGACATATTTATATTTTTATCTTTACCTTGTTTCATATCTTCATTGACTTTAAGTTTTTTTTTCTGTTTTTGTGTTGTAGTCCTTTTGTTTCCAGATGATTTTTCTGCATTTTTAGAATACATTTCAGTTTTTGTAGATCTGTTTTCCATTTCATCTGCCAAAGCACAATTCCTACCCAGTTTTCTTTGATCAGAGGGCTGAGATTTCTCTAGTGGGTGAGCTTTGCCAGAATGTTTGTCATTTGTCAAAGTTGTAGGTGTTACACTGTGATGTTTTTCTCTTGACTTCTTACTTTGAAGGCGTGCAGTGCTCTCAGTAGGGGATACTGTGCTTTGTTTCCCAGGCACAGCCTTTCTTGGTATAGTAATCCAAGACTGACTGGCAAAACTATCTGATTCATCAATTATAAATTCATCCTCCAAATTCATATGAGTTGCAGGAGATGACTGAGGTGGAGCAGTTGCTATATGCCTAAACACAGGACTAAAAAAAGATATTACAATAAATAATAGCTCAAAAAAATAAAGCTTTACCTTAGTTCAGTGAAGAAAATAAAATAATCTATAAATAAAATATATGTATCTTTTAAACAGCAGTTCACATGTCTCCTCAATTTTCCTTTACCCTTTTATATTTTATATTATAGAAATATAAAAGGAAAGGTCCTTTTATATTTCTACAATATGATCACAATCATTTATAACATTAATGGGATCACAGAAATTTAGAGCTGGAAGAGAGCCTATACATCAAATAATTTGATGCCCTTCCTACCCATTTTATATTTATTTAAAAGTTGAAATCCAGGGATGTGTAAATATAGCCCAGGTACATTGGCTAACAGCTCAAAAATGCATCCCATTATTACATATAATGTTATATTAAATTATACGTTTGTATAGATGTCTCTTTAGATTTCTTCTCATCTAAATTGGGTTTCCAGAACTAATTCCAATACGGTGTGGGGGTTTGGCCCACACCAACAAACAATTCCCAGACACCAGTAGCATATCTGAGAATTCAACTCAATTATGACACTATCCACCCAGAGAAAGTGTCATATGCCAAGGTTATGGGTTCAAGCGTACAAGAGTGCCTGCCCCGATGCACACACACTTCAGATGCTGCCACAATCCCATACTACCTGTGTTTCAATGAGGTACAGACTGGAGGTTCTCAACAATCCCCTCCAGGTCAGAATGCCAACTGAAAGTCCAGATTGTTACCTGCACTGCTGACCAACTGGCTATATATGAGAGGTTCCTACAACCCCCTCCTTGGATTTGATTAATTTGATAAAACAGCTCACAGAACTCAGAAAAACATGGTACTAGATCACTGGTTTATTATAAAAGGACATAACTGAGGAAGAGCAAGGTGGAGGAGGGGTAAGGTATGTGGGAAGGCACTCTAGGCTTGTCCCATCTCTAAGTGTTCATGAACCAGGATGCTCTTGAACCCCATCCTCTTGGCTTTTTATGGAGGTTTCCTTACATAGTTATAATTTAGTAAATCACTGGTCACAGGTGATTGGCTCAACCTCCAGCTTCTCTCCCCTCCCTGAAGGTCTGGTGTAGGGCTGAAACTTTCAACATTAATCACAAGGTCATTTACACTAGCAACTAGCTCCCATTCTCACCAAAGCTTTCAAAAATTCATCTCATTAACAAAAGACTTTTTTTTTTTTTTAATAACTTTCAACGCAGGAAATTCTAAGAGTTCTGGAGTTGTAAACCAGGAATTGTGACCAAGGTCCAAACATATATGAGAAATATATTTTAGTCATCTGATGACCAAATATTCACTTCTTATAAATCACAATATTGCAATATCCAAAACATTATTCAGAGACACCTTCAAGTCTAATATCGAAAAAAATACTACTAAATTATATTACACAAAAATTCATTCCAAGTATGAATAATTCACCCACATTTCATGCATGTTTCAATAGTGTAATCATGGTAAATAAATAAATGGTGTATATCTAGAAAAATAAGTGCATTGGGATTAAGCATCACCTTTCAATTAGTAGGGAAAGCTTCCCAAAGAAGGAAAAAATTATTTAAAGGATGGTATCCCTCCAAAATTCATAAATTAAAACCTAATCTCTGCTCTAGCCAGTTTAGCTAAGTGGATAGAGCATGGGCCTGGGGACTGAAGGGTCCCAGATTCAATTCCAGTCAAGGGCACATGACTAGGTTGCAGGCTTGATCCCCAGAAGGGGGCGTGCAGGAGGCAGCCGATCAATGATTCTCTCTCATCACTGATGTTTCTATCTCTCTCTCCCTCTCTCTTTCTCTCTGAAATAAATAAAAATCTATTTAAAAAAAGAAAAGATAAAAGAAAGCACTAGGAATAGTGAATAGTTAACATCTGACTACAGCAATTAAACATAAAATTAAGTTTACTCATTATCATTAGTTCATTTAAAAGAACATTAAAAAATACTTAATTATTTTTTGGACATAGGTATAATTAGCCCATAAGTGTAACATATTTGTATTAGATGGTGGGGTTAACATCCATAAATAAGGTAAAAGATTCCAGAGAGAGAGATCTCTACTATAAAACAGAGACTAGTCCTGGCCAGTTTGGCTCAGTGGATAGAGGGTCCGAACCAAAAGGTCCCAGGTTCGATTCCAGTCAAGGGCACATGCCTGGGTTGTGGGCTTCATCCCCAGAGGGGAACTTGCAGGAGGCAGCCAATCCATGATTCTCTCTCATCATGGATCTTTCTATCTCTCTCTCCCTCTTCCTTCCTCTCTGAAACCAATAAAAATATAAAAATATTTTTACAAATAAAAAAATAAAGAGACGAAAGAATGAATTTTATTCATTCATCTAGTATGTTTTTATAAAACCTTCCTAACACATTCATTAACATTCTGATATATGTCACAGGAAATACAAAAGAAACTCTAGACTCCTGAAAAGGACTTCTGGAGTTGGGACTTGTAAAAAAACTAGAAACCTAGCATGAACGTTAATTTTAAAAAAATAATAAAGAAAGATAGGCATATGACGAGGAAAAGGTGTGCCAAAGCAGGGACAACTACATATATGTATGACAAGTTGGTAGAAGGACAAACTAGGGAGAGTGAAGGCCTAGCTGACAAATGTGAAGTTTATTCTATAGACCAGTGGTTCTCACCCTCACAGTCACTATATCTAGTTAACTCTAATGTGCAGCCACAGGTAAGAATTACTGTTTTGAAACTGTAGAACCACTGAAGGTTTTTCAGTAGTCAGAACAGGTTAAAATTTATTTTACAACTATTCTTTTATTAACACAAATAGAACAGAAAAAAGATTTAAAACCCTTAAAAATAAAATACACAGGCATCCTGACATAATTATATTTCTAAATATTGCCCTCATTCTTTGATAGCATACAAACTAGAAAGTGTTGATGAACAGAAGCAATGAAAGCTGAGTAAATTTATTTTCCGTTACATCAAATTTAGTGTCTATTAAATAGTGGTTTTAGGGTGATTTACTGGTAAGAAATTACACTCTCCTTACAGATTAAGCATCATTTCAATTAACATCAGTGTCAATTAAAATTCACTTCTGGTTAAAAATAACATTCAGAATCCTTAGATTGTTCTTCATGGAATGTGAAAGAAAAAATGTCTCAAAGGACAGTTTCTCAATAACTCACCTGGATTCACTTTTTCTTTTTAATGTTTCTAAAAACAAGGAAGAAAAACTCTTTTTGGCTTGTGGTTGAATTTCATGTTCTGAACCTTGCATTATTTTCTGAAGTGTTTCTGGCGGGTTTCTCTCTTGTGGTCTTTCTGATACTTCATCCTCTATATCTGATACTTTATTCTCTGTTTCTACTTTCTTCAAAATATCTTTATCTTCAAAGTCTAACCTAAAAAGTAAAAAAGAAGGCAAGCTGAATGCTCTGTTTGTTGAGTTATGAGTTTTCTTGAACTCCCGCACAGTGACAACACAGACCACTTACAATAATTTCCACTGAGCCTTTATTTAAAATTTATAAATGCTAATTTGCAACCCCTTACACTAAAAATGCAAGGCAAATCACTCAGAAAAATTAAGTTACATATTTGTCAATAGAAAAAAATTAAAAAGGTAAATCATACACCAATAAAATATATAGCTTATAGCACCAGTTCTCAAATATTTAATATAAATTTGAATCATTTGGAGAATCTTATTCAAATGCTGATTCTCATTCAGTAGGTCCAGGACAGAGTCTGAGATTCTGTGTAGTAGATTCTCAAATAACGTCATTTTATTCAGCATCATTTCACTATAACATTGATGAGATGCCATAGGAAATTAACTTCTGTTTATATCAATTAGCCTATAGTAAAATTGGTTTTGTTGTACTTCATTTCACTTAAAGTCACAGAATCTATCAATGACATTTAGCGATGACTACTGTATTACTAGCAAGCTTTCAGATAATGCCATTGCTCTGATCCTTAGCCACAGACCACACTTTAAATAGCAAAATCTTAGAATGTATATAAGACCCTAGACAGAAATTACACTTATTGCACAGATAGGAGCAAAATACCTTGAATGATCTACTTTGCTTCTTAAAGGCCAGAGGGAAAGTCCCCCAAAATAGACATGAGTTTACCATAACTCATCCTTAATATCCTTGTCCTTTGCTATGCTAGAAATGATCTGATATATACCTAACCTTGTAATTACAAAGAATGTAGAGAAATACAAATTGCTTCTCTTAGAAAGTTAGAAAGAACTTTTTATCAGGGAAAAAAAGCATTTTCCCACAGACAGAAAAGTTATCCCTAGCTTCTCTGCTTCTCTTAAGTATACTTTAAGGCCTTCCTTATTAAATATAAATGGGATATATACTGAATATATGTTATATTCTTTTTATAACATGTTCATAATCCTTAATACTTACTGTAAAATATATAAAAGATTAAATTACATACTTTTTGATATAAAATGTGAAACTCTTTTGGTAGGATTAATATTTAAATTTTAAAAGTTCACCTTTTTTTGGTTTTAAGAGAAATCTCTGTACTTGAAGATAACACATTTACTGAATCTTCAAAAGTGTAGGTCTCTCTCTGTTGGCCAATAGATGAAACAGCATTTTGTGGTACCGATGTTTTTGCATCCAAAAGAACAAAAGGTGAACCAACAGATAAGTAAAATTCCTCATTGGCATCATTGTGATGATCTTTGAGTTTTTTATTTGACATTTTTCTTGAGTCAGGTGTTTTAGAACCAACATCAGTTGCCACAGTTTTCTGAGGAACCTCATGGGCTTGAACTAGAAAAAAATTACATGAAGATATTTAAAAACTTTTAAGTAATATTAGAACCTTTTTAAAATTCATCAACAATTTCATTAAAAATAATTTTCAGAAGACTCACAGATCATTAAGTTTATAATCAAAGGTCTACAAGTAAAATATATAAGTACATACTTTGAAAGTATTAACTTATGAAATTAATGAACTAAAATATGTATTTGGTTCACACTCTGAAGTTTGAAATGACGGAAATCCTAAAACAGAAAATTCATAATTTTATTGATAGTCAATTTATTTAAGATCTGAATAAATCTATACATGGCTGAAACAATAAAGTAATCTTAGAGAAATTAAGAAATTCAATCTTTAGGTTAAGAGTCAGTAAGTTAGGGCAGTTAGATGAGCACATCTTTGTGTATGTAATACAATACACATATATAGAATAACAGATACAGATATATACACAATATACAGATATAACAGGTATGTGTGTATATAGAGATTATTTACATATATCTTTATATATACATGTCTCTATCTTTATATACCTTAACCTTCAAATATCAATGAAAAAGTAAAATGGCTAGGTAGTATTCATACTAATTCATACTCTTAAGAAGCAAAGATTAAAAATACAAGCAAAATGACTTTTGATTTTGGAACAAGATGGCATAAATTCACTTTTTCCTGCTTTTCACTCTAAATACAACTAAATTCCCTGGTAATTATCCATCAAACAACAATAACAGAACTCTGAAAGCTAGAAGGAAGAATGTAATTTGCTGTTGTTCCTCAAGCCTTAAGGAACAACAGACAATGTGGTTAATCCCCTGGGTTTTGTTTATATTTCATTCCCAAACTGGGCTCTAGAGAGGCCTACAACCCAGAACAGCCCTTAGGTAAGAGAAGATGGAGTAGAGAACCCCCATTCTCTGACCAAAAGACTTAGAGAAGGAAAACACTCGGAGACATAATGGGAAACTCAAATTCCCACTCCACAAACCAGGCCTTGCAGTGTCAGGCCCTACTCCGTAAGTACTATGGGGCAGGAGCAGCAAAGGAGCAAAGCCCTGGGCCAAACCTGTCTCTGGACCAATCCAGTCCCTGCTTTAATGATCAGCCACTACTACACAGACCACTGGTAGAATTGATCCACTGGTAGTATTGACACCCCAGGTCATCCCAGACCCTACGCCCAATGAGGGCACCAATAAAGATCCATTCTCTGCAGTTTCTGACCCCAACTTCCTTGGGTAAGGACATCAGGATGCTTAAGAAAGCACCTTCCATCCACCCACACAGCACCAGCAAGCACTGAGCTGGAATCCCAGCATTATCAGAAAATTAAACAAACCACTGCTAGGACTCTAAACACTTAACTGTCATTGGAAATAAAATCCACAAAAGTAGGCAAGAACCTACACATTAAAGCAAAATTGGGCAACTATGTACTACAAGAAAAGATTTAAATGCAATCAAGCGTCTCCTTAATATAATAACCAAAATGTCAAGGATACATTCAAAATGATTCATCATACCAAAACCCAGAAGAAACACAACCTGAACAAGAAAATAGAATCAGTAGACACAAATGGACAAAAAGGAATCAGATGTTGTAATTATTTAACTAGAATTTTAAAGCAAGCATCATAAAAAATGTTTTAACAATCAATTATCAATTCTCTTGAAACAAATGAAAACACAGAAACTCCCAAAGATATAGAAGTTACAAAAGAGAGACAGTTTTTTGGATTTTCACCATTCTTATAGGTGTGCAGTGGTATCTAATTGTTGTTTTAATTTAAAAGTCCCTAATAACAAGAATGAGGAACAAATCAAAATCACAGTGAGGTACTACTTTACACCCATTAAAATGGTTATTATCAAATGCAAAACAATGAAAAAATAAAATAACAAGTGTCAGTAAGGATGTAGAGAAAGTGGAATCCTTGTGCACTGTTGGTGGGAATGGAGGCAACAGCATATAACAGAGTAAAGACAATCTCTTCAATAAACTCAAAATGGATAAAAGACTTGCCCTAACCAGTTTGGATTAGTGGATAGAGCGTCGGCCTGCAGACTGAAGGGTCCCAGGTTCGATTCCAGTCAAGGGCATGTACCTTGGTTGCCAGCACATCCCCAGTGGGGAGTGTGCAGGAGGCAGCAGATCAATGTTTCTCTCTCATCGATGTTTCTAACTCTCTATCCCTCTCCTTTTCTCTCTGTAAAAAAATCAATAAAATATATTTTTAAAAAAAGACTTAAATGTAAGTAGTGAAACCTTAAAAATCCTACAAGAAACTATAGGTAGCAAAATCTCAGACATTGCTCACACCAGTTATGTTTGCCAGCAAATCTTCTAGGGCAAGGGAAACAAAGGGAAAAAATAAACAAATAGGACTACATCAAAATAAAAAGTTTCTGGTCTGGCCCATGTGGCTCACTGGTTGAGCATCAATCTATGAACCAGGAGGTCACGGTTCGATCCCTGGTCAGGGCATATGCCCAGGTTGCGGGCTCAATTCCCAGTGGTGGGCATACAGGAAGCAGCCAATCTATGATTCTCTCATCATTGATGTTTCTATCTTTCTCTCCCTCTCCCATCCTCTCTGAAATCAATAAAAATATATTTTTTAAAATAATAAAAAATAAAAAGCATCTGCACAGAATTTTAATCATCAACAAAATGAAAAGGGATCCTACTATGTGGGAGAACATTACTTGCCAATGTTACATCTGATAAGGGGTTAATTTCCAAAATATATAAAGAACTCATACAACTTAACAAAAAGAAGACAAACAATCCAATTAAAAAATGAACAAAGTAATAGACAGTTCTCCAAAGAGGACATACAGATGGCCAAGGGACACATGAAAAAATGCTCAAAGTCACTAATCATCAGAGAGATGCAAATTATAAAAAACCATGAGGTATTACCTCACACCTGTCAGAATGGCTACCATCAACAAATCAACAAAAGACAAGTACTGGCAAGGATGTGGAGACAAGGGAACCCTAGTACACTTCTCATTTTGTGCATGAAACAAGACTTCATTAATATTACATGTCATGATATTCCAACACTATATGATTAAAAAGTATAACTAACAATTTTTAAGTATACATACTAATTTTATTAATTAAATGATTTACGTTTATTAATTCAAACCACTTGTCATATTTCCAAAAAAGCATTTTATTTTTTATATGAGCTGCTTAAAGAGGCTTTGTATTTTTTTCAATGTAAATAGACATTTGCTAAATGTGGGTGACTAGTTGGTATGAAACATAAAATATTTAAATTGTAACACTGCTGTTGGGAATGCAGACTACTACAGCCATTATGCAAAACAGTATTGAGTTTCCTCACAAAATTAAATATGGAACTGCCATTTGACCCAGTGATCCCACTTCTAGGAATATTCTAAGAAACCCGAAACACCAATCAGAAAGAATGTATGCCCCCTATGTTCACACTAGTGTTATTTAGGATGTCAGTTGGGAATTAGAGTTGTTCTAGTTACTATGTCTGCATAATAAATAACTCCATAACTTGATTGTGGAGAACAACCATTATGTTCATAGATACTATGAAACAGGAATTTGGCAGGACACAGTAGGAATGGCTTATCTCTGTCCCATAAAGTCTGGGGCCTGGAATCATCTGAAAGCTTGCTTACTCACATGACTGACATTTGGGACTGGTTGTAGGTTGAAGGACTATTTCTGTCTATGTATTTCTCTCTGTAAGTGGGCTAGTTTGGGCTTCCTCATAGCATGGTGTGTGGGATCCAAAGGAGTAGAGGGGGAGGGGATGGTCATATCCTAAGAGAAAATTGAGAGAACCAAACAGAAGCCATATAGCCTTTTATGAGCTAACCTTGGGAAGTCACAGAGTATTACATATGCCACATTCTGTAATAAATGATATGACATAATATGTAAAAACAACCTCCCTGAAGGGGTGGGGAAAAAAGATGCTGACCTAAGATCATATATATTACTTTACTCTGTCAGTTGAGATGGTCTTGAAGCAACAACATCCCAGGAGTGACAGCACACCTAGCATTCAGATCTTGGTTCCTAGTACAATTCTCCAATAAAAGGAACCTTGGCTCTTTGAGAAATCACTGATTCTAGCATAGGGGCAGGAAATATATAAGACTAGAGGCCCAATGCACAAAATTCAAGCAAGGGTAGGCCCTCACAGCTGCCCCAGCTGCTACCTCGGCCCTCGCAGCCACCCTTGCTTCATCCAGAGGTTGTCTGGATGGTCATTCTGCTATTCGGTCTAATTAGCATAATAGCTCTTTATAGGATAAGCTTGGAGAATATTGTAGTTCTAGAAGGTAAGAAAGTACACAAAAACAACAAAAACAAAAATGAGGCATATCAAAGAGGCATAGAAGCCAAGGAAATAACTTCTAATAGCAAATGCTGGAACAAGTTGAGTCACAAAATTAATAAAATAGCATTAGATTACAAGCCAAAGTATAAAATAAGGTCCTACCTCAAAAACTAGAAAAAGAGCAAAATAAAAAGAGAAGGAAAAAAATAAGAGCAGAAATCAATGAAACTGAAAACATGAAAAGAATATGAAAAATTACCGAAAGAAGCTAATTCTTTGAAAAAGTGAATAAAGATGATAGACCTCTAGCAAAATTGACAAAGATAAAAAGACAAGACACAAATGACCAATATACAGGATTAAATAGTGTTTATCACAATAGATCCTGCAGCCATTAAAAGGACTATACGGAAATACTAGGCTTATAAATTGAAAAACTTAGAAGAAATGAAGTAATTCCTCAAAACCCACAATTATCAAAATTCTGTCAAGACTAAATAACCTAAATAGTCCTATAACTTAATAAGAATTGAATTTCTAATATAAAGGCTCTTGAAAAAGAAATCTCATAGGTCAGATGATATCATAGAAAATGTTACACCAAACATTCAAAGAATTAAAACTAAGTTTATTCAGTTCCTTCCAGAAATCAGAAGAGGGAATAATTTCCAACTTTTTAAATAATATGAACATTACCAACATACCAAAACTATACAAATATAGCATAAAAAAAGAAAACATCATATGAGTATCTCTCATTAACTTATGTGCAAAAACTTCTCAATAAAATTTTAGCAAATCACATCCAACAATGTATAAAAATTAGTAATATGTCATAATTTACATTTATAGGAAAGCACACTCAACAAAAGAATATATTTTTTCAAGTATAAATGAAACATCCATAGATATCCTAGATCAAAAACCAAATTTAAAATTATTGAAATCACGTAGTGTATGTTATTCTATAAAGGAATCAATATTAGAAATTAGTAAAAAAAAGAAAATAGGACAATCAATCCCTAAACACTTGGATTAACACACTCCTAAATAATCAATGGTTTAAAGAGAAAGACTCAAAGTATATGTATGTAAAAATACACAGAAATAAATAAGTGAACAGAAAACACATCAAAATCTGTGCCATGCAGCTATAGCAGTGCCGACAGGGAAATTTATAACACTAAATGAATATACTTGTATTCACTAAGCCCAGTGTTTCCAAGGTTCTTCCACATCATAGCATGTGTCAGCAGCACGTCATTCCTTTTTATGGCTGAATAATAGTCCACTGAGCATATATGCCACATCATTTATCCATTCATCTGTTGATGGCCACCTGTTTCAATTTGGTATTGTGAATAATGCTACTATGAATACTGGGGTGGGTACAAGTATCTGTTTTGGATCCTTATTTTCAATTATTTTAAGTATAAACCTAAGAGTAGAAATGCTGGGTCACATAACAATTCTAGATGTAATTTTTTGAGATAAAAAATATACATATTAATTGTTGCTTTAAAAGAAAAATCTATTTGAAAATTACTAAAGCTATACAGACAGTCCTCGGGTTAACTCAGACAACATACGTCATTTCATGGTTACGTCGCCATCTCCCATTTATTTATATATATAAAAAAAGTTCTGTCATTTTAACATATGTACATATGTACTTTATGTTTTTTATTATCTATTTACCACAAGGTCAAGAATTGTTGTCTTTCTTTTAAATTTATTTTACTGTTTCACTTCATTACTGCTGTGTATGGGCTCATGTGAGTGATGTAGATGCTTATATAGGTGGGTTCTGACTTACGGTGAAAGACTTACAGTGAAAATCGCATTAAGTCGCGCCCTAGGAATAGATCTCCGATGTAACCCAAGGACCCACTGTATAGTCCCTATAATAATTCTTATTTAGTTAATGTCTCTTACCACATCCTAGTAAGCAATGTTCTCACCACTAAAAGAAATAAATAATCATATAAAACTTATTATTGTTCATGTATTTTTAAAAAACAAACACTAAAATAAACTTGCGAGGGAATAAAAAACTTCATTTCACAATTCTGCCCAAACTGGCCATGACCTTGTCACTCAAGCCAACACATGCACCACCTGCAGCGTTTCTAACTTTTTAAATCTATCTAATGTATTATAGAATCGTACACCTGAAACCTATGTAATTTTATTAACAAATGTCACCCCAATAAATTCAATAAAAGATAAAAATAAACAAACAAATCTAGGCAAATAATACCCATGGGCATGCCACCAACCTGATACGCTGACAGCTTCACTTGGTTCTGTAGGGAACTGCAGAGAGGCTCCTTTCTTTCTTGAAGAAACTCGAACTGACTTTGAATGTGATATCTGGCAGTGAGCCTAAAAGGAATACATTAAATCTACACTATTAAGTTACCAATTCCAATTAAACACATTTGTTTTTAAATTGGAAAGAAAAAAAGTATTTAAAAATAATAAACCAGCTGGTAGAGCTGTATACTTAAAATTGATTCAACTTTCAAAAACTAATATTTCACATTGGAAAGGTCTCTCAATTCTAAAAGAAATGGATCTGTGTTCATTCCTTGCAACCAAAAGGTTATATATGCTCATTTGTTTGTAGTAAATATTATTTCTAGCATTACATGATTTTTATCTATAATTAGTATTGAACTTTAAATATTTTCTCTTTAATCATTAGTTTCAAAAACTCTATTTAAAGTATTCCATTTTGTAGAGTTAAATCAACCTGTCCCCTTAAGATAGATAATCAATAAAATATTAGTTTCCCCAGACAGCAATAGATGGCTTCGGTTTTCAGAAAACAACCAAATTTGCCAACCTAGATTAGAAACTTCAAAAGTTGCCCACTTTCCTGAAAACCTAATTTAAGTATTATTTTAGAAGTGAAAAATGATTGTGTTATAATTTGATAATTCAAATTCCCCAGCCTCCAATTTCAAATACAGGAAATGTCAAATCAAAATGTTCACAAATACTTCCAAATGTTATAGAAAATCAATGGGAATATAAGATTCCCTTTTAAAAATAAGACAAACAACTAAAATGTACCTAACTACACTGTGTATTGCTTCCCTCATTAAAATATTAAACCTGGCCTGGCTGGCAAGGCTCAGTGGTTGAGGGTCAACCTACCAACCAGAAGGTCACGGTTCAATTCCCAGCCAGGACACATGCACCAGTTGTGGCTCGATCCCCAGGCGGGCCGTGCAGGAGGCAGCTAATCAATGATTCTCTATCATCAATATTTTTATTGATTTCAGAGAGGGAGAAAGAGATAGAGACATTAATGATGAGAGAGAATCACTGATTGGCTATCTCCTGCACGAATGGGGATCAAGCCCGAAACCCCGGCCTATGCCCTGATCAGGAATCGAACCGTGACGTCCTGGTTCATAGGTCGATGCTCAACCACTAAGCCAACACGGCCAGGCAATTAAAATATATATTTTTTAAATATATTAAACCTGTACCAGCTTTTCTTTTTGACTTACCTCTCTGCTTGGTGACTGTAGACAATTGTCTTTTATTTTAGGTGTTGAACAAAGCATTGAGTTTGTAGAATTAGTGCTAAAATCATTGGCAAGACCTAAAAAATAGTAAGAAATTTTTAGGAATGAAATACAGTATAAAATCTTTTGGTTACAATTAAAAGTCTTATATGATATAAAGAAGTCTGCTGACTCTTTAAACACAATTAGCTTAAATGAAGTACAGACATCAATTTCAATATTCAAATGTTCCTAGAAGGAATCAAGAGATAAAAAAGACAAGATGTTGAAGAAATATGTGCCAGATTTTTGGGGGCTTATAACAGAAAATACGTTTCCATAATCTGTGTTTATCTCTTTGATTGGCCTATTTTCTTATTCCAATACCTTCTGATGCTGACAAGTATTTAGAAAAGTTGTTGCCATAATTCACCATTTTTTTTAGAAACTGGTACAAATAACCAAACATTAATCCAAGCTCTCCAATGACCCCAAGAATTCTGCACATTTATTTCTATTACATGAAATACTTTCTTTTGTGTATAATAATTATTTATGCATTTCCAGACTACAGGAATCGACTCTAAATTAAAGATAATGACAATTGTTTTCATTTTTGCCAGTATTATCCTCAGGATACCGGAAGATTCATGAAGAATTGCACATGTATTAAAACTTCCTGGGGAAATATTTTGCAATATTTACATGCTGAAACATATTTGTTGCATCTGACATTGACAAATATGACAAATGTTTATCTTCATCCATCCAGACCCTCAAAGTCCATTTGGAAATGAAGCCTTACTTTGTTCTTCAAAACAGTCTTGTAAGAGTACCAATATGTTCTGGCCTTGCCTCATATTAATGCCAGGTTCCCTAATATGAAGGAAAGAAGGGAAAATGTTAACATATAATTTCCAAAAGATATTTGTTATTTAAGTTGCCATCTACTTTGAAAATTCTCTAGCTCCTTATTATAAGTTGTTAATTTACTTCATGGGGAAAATATCACCTTTACTATCTGAGGACAAAACAAATACTTGACAATCCAAAAGTTCCTAGAAAAACATGTGAAGTAATATGTCATTATCTACACTAATAATTATACTCCTTGATCAGAGAGCCATGTTTGAAGCTATTTTAGGTTATTGCTGTATCAAAACAAGAACATAAACTTTTTTGAACAAATACATTCAGTCCTGAAATGCTTTTTTAATAAGGACTCTACGGTCACAAGTACGAACAGCTCCAAGTAACACTGTCTTCTCTACAAGCTCTCAAATGCACTTTTGATTCAATATCATTAGTCTTAATGGTAGTTTATGAATCAGTATAAATTTTTAATTAAAAGTTCACATAACAGTTGTAAGAAATAATGTAGAAGAGATCCCTTGTTCACTTTGTTTCCCCCAAATTTCAAAAACATTCTGTAAAAGTTTAGTTTACTATCACAACCAGGTTACTGATATTGATACAATGCACCAATCTTAATCAGATTTCTCAAGTTCTACATGTACTCATTTGTGTGTATATAATTAGTTCTGTTCAATTATCATATCTGTAGGTTCAGACATCACCACCACAGTCACGGTACTGAACAGTTCCATCACCACAAATATCCTTCTACTGCCCTTTTACAACAATACCTTATTAAATCTCCCACCCCCACTGACTAGCTTCTTTTATATAATAAGCCACTTGGTCCGTTCGAGGGGGTGCTTCTCTCTGCGATGGCCACCCACTCATAGAAGAGACTGCTTCTGGCCGGCCCATCATTCGGGGGTTGTATTTTTATATACAAAGCCACTACGTCGTTGCGTTGCTACCATAAGAGTGGGGTGGAGAAAAGAAAAAAAAAAAAAAGACTATTGTGTGGGGAAAAAAAAATATTTATTTTGGGCGGGAGGGAATTTTCTCTCTCCCTCCATATAAATATTCCTGGGGGGAGGGAGAGGAACCGCCTCCTTTATATTTTAAAATAGTTAGATTTATCCGTCGCCGGGGGGAGGGAGAAAAATATCTTTCCTCCTGTCTGCTTTTTTTGGAGACGAACAAAAAAAAAAAAAAGAATACCATGCGATTGCGTCTGCTTTGTTTGAAATATTCAAATACAACTTATCTTCAAAGTAATTTCACCCCCAATCTGAGCATGCCAGAAAATGTTATTCATTTATTCATCAAGCAAGTTATTGTTAACTGCCTATTATAATGCTATGAAGAGGAATTCTTCTCTATTTGTTTCCAACCTTTGCTTGTACTATTTCTTCACCCTCTGATTTACTCCATCCTCTTCCTCCTCTTCCTTCACAACCCCCCATAACTTTTCCATCATCAAAATCCTAAGTATTTGGGCATCCAATAATTAAAGTTGGTTGACTAACGATATCCACTTATCTCCTTTCCCTGCAGGTAGAGCCCTCTAAAATATTAATAAAGAACTAAAATGGCTTAAAACAACAATGAAAAACAAGACCATCTATGGACACACACATTTAACAACTTATGGAAAATAAATGAAGCATGGTAACTGAAGAAACAAAATGAAAATAGTATTAGCCTAAAGTAAGCTCAGAGAATACTGTCTTTAATAAGGAATGAAGCTGATATTTCCTTCAGTAAGTGAATGGATAAATAAAATATGGATTATCCAGCACTATAAAGAAATGAGCTATCAAGCCCTGAAAAGACATAAAGGAACCTTAAATGCATATTACTAAGTGAAAGAAGCCAGTCTGAAAAGGCTACATCCTGTATGATTCCAAGTATATGCCATTCTGGAAAAAGCAGAATATGGAGACAATAAACAGATCAGTGGTCACCTAGGTATTGGGGGTGGAGGATGAATAGCAAGCACAGAGAATTTATAGGGCAATGAAAATACTCTGAATGATACCATAATAATGGATACATGTCATTCATTAGACATTTGTCCAAACCCATAGAATGTACCATACCAAGAATGAACCCTAATGAAGACCACGGACACTGAGTGATAATGTGTCAATGTAGGTTCATCAATTGTAAAAAAATGTATCACTCTGGTGGGGGTGTTGATCATGGAGGTGGCTATGCATGCGTGGGGGCAAGGGGTACACGGGAAATCTCTCTGTACCTTCCCCTCAAGTTTGCTGTCAACCTAAGAAATATTGTTTTTAAATGGTAAATTTTATTCCCCTTCTCTTCCCCCAATAACCTTTTTTTTATTGCATAATATATGTGTTCACGGTAAAAAGTACACATTACACCACACTGTCATACAGCTCTTTGTGGACACAATAACGTTATACAAATGGGAGTCAGCCGATGCTGAAGATTTTCTTTAAAAAAAAAAAAGGGAAATAAAGTAAAAACACAAATCTAGGATAGGGGGTGACATGGGTTGTGTAATATACGGACACCATAAGCGAAGTCTGAAATACAGAACAGTGACTACCGATGTAGTTCAGAAACATGTCAACAAAAAAGCGAGGTTCCCTCGGGTCCTTAGCTTGCACTTTCCCACAGCTGCCCCTCAGAAAGCATCCTCGCTACCAGATTCGCCATAAACCGTCTGCTTCTTCAGATCAGCA